ACTAATGTTAATAACAACAACGACAACAACGAAACTACGGCACAAATTTGCATCATACAAACGTATAGAAATAACCGGAGAACATTTCATCACCATTAGCGAATATAAAGAGGCCATTCGTCTGTTTCAAAGCACAGATTTGTATTCAATATTTGCCGTACAGCGTTAATACGATGACAGACTTAAAGAACACCAAGGATCTAGTACGTCCAACCAAGGGATATTGAAATGAATGTCAATGTGGAATATTATTCAAAAACTACCGAACAAGCTGTAGGAAAAGAAGACGGACAACACATTAGGCGCCGGCGAACGAAGACGCAGGTGGGGTTGTCACAGGTTCCCACCGCCTTCGCTGTCAAACGCACAAGATAACGAACAAGACGGTGCCGTGAAGAACGGTGGAGGGGAACGCCACCTGTGTTATCGGCCACCACAGGCTGAGATTAGAGAGAATTACAAGGAAATTCACCCAGAGACGGGCGAAAGTAAATAACGTCAGGAATAATGAAAAACATCGACAATTTGGACACCCCTACCACTGTCACCGATACGGACTGCCCTATTTTAAAAAAGTCGATGGAGAAACGACAGAGAACTCTGACCGTTCTATGCCTCACAGTTTTTATGGATACCACGACTTTAATCGCGATGGCGATCGCCGTCATTGTCATTACTGGATACATCTGTATACAGATCGTTGTGGTAGCGCTCTAAGTGTAAAACCGTCGTGGCCGACAGATACGGAAATGATGGTTGGAGGTTGGGATTAAGTTTCTCGTGTGTTGAGTTTTATTCGACAATGGTGATTGTGCCCATAAGAGAAAGAGAAGACATACATCATAACCAGACATTCAATTTTAAAATAACGTTTCAAATGAACAATGACTGTACCTGTCATCATTACCATGACGAATTGCAACATTATCACGTCACTATGTAAATGACGACTAAACGTACGAACATAATTGTTGTTACAGTAGAGGAAATGTGATAGGTTCTGTTAAAGAATATACCGTAATCTGAACACGATGGGTTCGAGTAGAAATATTAATAACAGCTTGTTATTTAAAAAATAACATAACTATCGTACGTTAAAGCGGAAGGGTCGTCACCTGCGCACGCGCGGGAATTGAGTCCCAAGCGACGATAACACACGCTAAAACCGCAAAGGCTCATGGGTAGACGTTTGTTTGTAAACAATTACACGCTATAACTATCCGGCGCATGCGCAGGTGATGACTCCCCAGCTTTAACATCATTGTAAGTAAAGTATTATATGTAGTAGATAAGTTAACTAATAAAGATGTAACTATTAAAATTTAGCAAAAGTCATAAATGAATGTCACTATACTGTATTTATTTACCCATTGATGCCTACGTAATATATGTGCTTGTTCAGTTCCTTCATGCGTTTATTTATGGCTATCATAGATGTTATATATACTATCCCAGGTCCCTTGAAACGCGAATTAGTTTCAATTGAACGAAGTATGAAACATAATGGGTTTAATTGTCCATTATTTCGGGATTTCGATGAAATTTAGCCAACTGGCAGCCATTTCCGTCAATAAAAATAAAATAAAAAAAATCGAATATGTCATCATCATGAGAAACATGTTTCTCAAGCAATCCTATGCAGATTTCATTCAAGCTTGGCATGAACATCACTCATGGTGCTTAGTTCTGCCATATGATTAAAAATAAGTGAATGACAGCAATTATTTCTTCAAGTCCCCTTTTCTTAGAAATAATTTTTACAAATTTGGTACAAGACAAGACTAGGGTGAATCTCAGACTAGTATTACTAGTCTGAGGTTGAATGTTGTTTTTTTTATCATTTTTTGGTCATGCACTCTGCTGATTTTATTCAAACTTAGTATGAATATGGTTTATTTCTGGATTATACAATTTTCTAACATATGGGAATAATACAATTCGTAGATGTCACTTTGACTAGACAAAACCTGGATTAGGTGCCATTTGAACCAACACTTTATTTTCAAGATGCTGAACCAGGAATGACTGTAGAGCTCAGTTTTAAAGCTTTTAATCAATATTGCCCAATTTTATAGAAATATTATTTTGCTGTAACATACATAATCTTGATTAAATAATATGCTGATTGTATCTCATACAACTAACCACGGCAACCACCCTGATGTCATCTTGCATAGTTGTTGTAACTAATTTTGTATGTTTAGTTAGTGTAAAACTGTTTTCATCCATTTCTCAAAGAAATTCAAGCAATCAATCAATTTCATTGCAGAATAGTTTTAATACACCAGGCATTGTAAATACAATATTTCTTGAATATTAAAATGTATTTTTTTTTAATACGAAAATTAAGAAAACAAAAA